AAAAAATGTTTATTTGGTAAGCATTTAAAATCCATAATAAGTGACATTTTAAATATTGACATCTTTTCTTACTAATACTATTTGAAATCTCAAGCCTAATGATGATGGAAAGTTCCATATGATGAGAGTTAACAGCTTTGTAAATAATATCATAGCACTTCCCCCCCCTTTGATCTGTGGAGTACATGCAACATTTTAGAAGTCATCAATTTCCTTCTAACAATAAATTACCTCAAACAAATTCTACGTCCCATTCCTATACATACAAGATTTATTGAAAAGATTCTCTCTATTCTTTGCAGTTTAACAACTCAGTTTAAGTTGTTTTTAATGACAGAGTGGTGGGAGGTAATTTCTTCTTGATACATCGTTAGAAAATAGCTACTTTATCTCAGTGAATGAAACATTAGTAGATAATAAAAAATTCATCGAAGCATACTGATAATAAAGCTCATCGATGAACATTTCATTTGGGGCTGCAAACAAAGTACAACAACTTCAACCCTTAAGATAGCAGAAAAACTTTGACTTATGCATTTTAAAATTAAGGTGAAATATTCTAAGACTCTTATGAGCACACACTGTTATCAGATTGTTATTTCTGTTTACACCTTTGACTCTGCACAGAAATCCAGTAGTTCAAGTTGCTGCACTCCACGTAGCATATAAAGGTAGGGAAAAGAGGTTTAAAAGAATTATGACGAACAGAAATTTGGGAGAGAAAGAATAGTAAAAGGTAAAAAATATGGGGTATTACAAAAGAGTAAATGAATCTGCTCCATTCAGAACTACTTTTAGCCACCCACAGTCTCCAGCCACTGATTCTTAGCATTCCAAGAACCTCAACCAGGAAGTTCACACCTCCTTACGTAGATGACTCAAACTAACTGTCAAAGACTTTATAGACTGTTTCCAGATTTTAGTCTGACCAATTATCATTATTCTCCAACCTATATCAACCAACATTGCTCGTCGAGGAAGGCGGCTGCTTGTTATGCACAGCATTCAGCTCGGATTAAGACTTTCTAAAAACCTTTTATCAAAATTTAAACGAAAGTTTTCTTCAGTTTTTTCATCAGGATTTTTTAAGTCATTCATCTAAGATATTTCAGTATATTTTGTACGATTATGAGCTACCTGTTGCAATAACTCTTGTCAGTTTTACTATATTTTTAAAAATGCAAACCGTGACGATGAATATGCATAAAAAATATCTGCATACAGACCGTGATTGAAATAATCAAGAAAATGGAGTTCCTAAACCTAATACAATGGGACAAAACTGTTTGGACAGTGAATATAGGTAAGACAAATGCAGTGGTATTAGCTTCGACAGAGTTATGACTAATAATTTATTTTATTCTTTCACTTACAATTAAACTTAGTGTAGTACATGCTTTTTTCAAACGGAAGCTTAAGCAGATTTTCATTTTCACCTGTAACCTGGTGACTGATGAATATCATCTTCACAACCAGTGAGTATGGGAAAACATTAAAAAGATATTCTGTAGTAGTTATGGACGACTCAGCAATACACAGTTTTTGTTATGGGATAGATGGAACTTCAAACTGTTAGATTTTGTGGGCGTTAGAGAGTCATTCAGTCGTTGAATCAAGTTTGGTAATTCACAGATTTCAGATAATGTAAATTGCGTGTCTATTTATTACAATTACATAACTTCATCTAGCACTTTTCATTTCATTGAAAAATACAGATACTTAATGTAATAGGATAAAGATAAAAAAAATGACGTATTGAAACATACGCTCTCCGTCACCCTTTTAGTGTCTCGTCGACAAGGAAACAGCTGGACATTGTTGATATGTAGAATTGACAAGTAATTCTATATAAAAAATTACTGTCTGATCCTTTGTGAAAATGCAGTTAATTCGTCAGTGAACCGAAAATGGGATCTAGGAACGTCATTGATAAAAATCCAGCATTTTTTCTCGACTGACAATCATAAAATCTGCAGATGTCGAATCATATTAAAGGCTAAATGTTATTAATCTGGTTGCGACCACTTTGTGGACGTGTACTGTGGACACCATTCGAATGACATTTTATTCAAATAGTCATTCAATTTTAATCTGAACCAAACAACTACACAGCTGAAAATTATTTTTCCAGTCTCTATTCATGGTGTATCAAGGGATCTTACTGACTTTTCTAGCTTCCTATGATGGTGACAATCCAGATTAAATCTCATATTATTGTGGTATAAATCTTAGAAAATTCCGACTTTACTAATACTAATAATTCCCTTGGTTGGTAGGTGCAACAAATTAATCAACAGGAGAGCAATTTTTGCGGAGGAGACCACCCGCTCATAATATTTATCCTCTTGAAATCCTGCCATCAAAATATTTATTTGAGTTCCTAAGATGTGTAGCATAGAGTTAGTTACCTGTGAACCAATTTATGTTTACGTGTCCTCTTTATGATTATTTGATTGCGAACCTTGTAACTTTAGTATGTGGACAACATAGGTGACATGAGTGCTACTTGCCAAACACAAGACAGATACAAGGCAAAAGCATTGCTAAGTTTCATAACGGGCAAAAATCTAGAAACTTTCCAGTATGCATGATAGAAAACAGATTGCCCGTACAGGCCTTCTGGAACCCGAAATACAACTAAGGTATTGCATAACCTAAAAGAAGAGATGCTGATAACAAATTACCAAGACCCTTCTTGTCAGTCTCTTTTTAATCTTATATTTTTATTTTCAAGAGTTGGTTTGTAAGGATTAGATTTGCTTTTTATTACAAAACAAGAGATAAACTGTGTTTAACAATTGCCATACACTTTTATTTAAGTCTTTACGAATTACTTTCTGGTGTTTGGTAAATTGCTGTGTGTGCAATGGTATAGGAAACAAGTCAAGTTGCAAGGCAAAATTTCCTAAAAGAAAGAAAATTTCGAGGGAAGAAGACTAATATAACATGCTTCAAATGAGAAATTGTGAAAGATAAGGAATTTTTAATTTCATAACACTAAAAGATCCATCATGTTACCATAACAATAGGTTTTTGTCTGTGGCCTAAATATAGAGGATGTGTTATGGGGAAAATCCATGGACACTTATTACAAATAGGTCTTAACAATCTGTCAAGTTGGTCAAAAGAATGGCTGCCCGTCAACAAAGTGAAATTTGTATTCATATGCATTATTTATACAAATGGCGTGTCACACCACCTCCAACTTTAGTAAAAACTAGAGATAAGTTAGCTTTCATAGACTTGAAAAGCATGGCATACTAGGAATGAAATGCTTCTGAAGGTTTCAAAGCCATGAAGGTAGCACTTTTGATCTCCACTATGATATATCCGCAAAAGTAAAAGCGTTCAGCGAAGAGTTACTCTGATTGGACACTAGTAACTTGTGTGACGTGTCCAGTCCTTTATCTAGTGCAGAGTGAATTCTGTCACTCAGGTTTGCAATGTGGCCACCACTCTAGGTAGTTTGCCACCATGGTGCACATTGATTTAATGATATTAGATAGTTGGAGGCAATCGGCATGAAGCCTTGAATCTAAGTTTCATGCTAGTTGGCACTCATCAGCAAGGCTTATCTGCAACCTTGAAGGAACTCATGTCCCTTCTGAGATTCGAACCGGCGTCACCTAGTGCTGCAGTCAGAGACGTTACCACTGAGCTATTGGGGCGATGCCATTTCCAAGCTGTGTAATCGCATGTATTTACTAAATTTTCTTAGCAGCAAAAGGAATATCTCCAAAAATGTGTCATTAGAGTTGTAAATTTTTGATAACAAATTGCGTAATGTAGAAAGAGTTAATCGGGTAGAAACTAGAATAAAATTAAATAAGTAAGGTGAGTGACGTAACACAACTGACATGGTTCAGTAGAACTCAACTAAAATTTGAACGAGAGTCAAGTTAACAACAGTGGTAATAAAGGGTAGACATTTAATATCATATCAAGTTGAAAATTGTTATCTCCTTCGTAACTATGTGGAATTAAATAAATATTAATTGTATCCATGTAAATTAGTGTATAAAAATGCGATTGTACGGCTTTTGAGAATGAAATTGGCAAAAAGATATCTTTGCTGAACTTCTTGTTCTTCTTTCTCTAGTGTCCCGATGGGTATTTTACACGATTTGGATGAAAATAATACATTCAAGAAACAAAAAACAAAAATTATGTATTTAGTGTTAAGATAGATCAGGTCTGTATACTTCTATGGTGGAGTTCATTTTATGAAACTTCATTCAAGTGGATAATTCTTAACTACAAGAAGATTGACAAATTTTGAACAGACTTCAAAAAAAACAGAAGTACCGCTGCTCGTTAGACTGAAACTACACTCTTAAACATTTCGCCTATAGAATAGAAAATTGACCATGACGTACACAATCTTAACAACCAATTTTGAATTTAATCTGTCCTCCGCTCTCCTACCCGATAAGCCTTAAAATTCAGGAAATACAGAAGCAGGGTGCAAAACCCAAGGTAACAATATTTAGAAACAACACTTAAATGAATGTGAGTCTTTTGATAACTTGATTAAAGAAGGAACAAGCACGTAAATAATTTACCAGACGAAAATTAGCAGAAAATTGTTGAATAATTGGCAATGACGATGGTAAGAAAAAAAGGGTGAATTTTGGTTATGCTGGAAAATCTTTCCCGTTCCGAGCATTACTTGACCAAAAATTACCCTATGATTTAACCACTACTTTTAAATGTTGACCATTTAAGCAGTATTCTCAAATTTTGAACATTATTTATCAACTGTTTACCTATTGCATCACTATTCTTACCATTTACCCAAAATCCTGCCAATTGTAACCATTACTTAACCATTCTTCTACCATTTTCGTCTGAGTGACTATAATGTCGTAGTCAAAATTTGATTTGGAGTAAATGAAGGTGACAAGTCCCTTGTTCTAAAAAACTGCTAACCGATAAACAGGTGCAAATTATGAATTAATTGGTTGCTCATTCTTAACATGGTGATTAAAAAATCAACATACTTCGGATTAGCGGGAACCCATTCACTTCCTTGTGCACAAGTAACATCCAAAACAGCCGAGTTGCAGTCGTGTGACGAAAAATATAAATTGTTTGCATCTTGACAGTTACCCTTTCTGTGTACACAAATCTCTTCAAAACCACAGTTAGAAGAACATGAAATATTTTGAACACCGCCGTGTGTAATCGCTGCTGAGACAGTACTCACAGGACGTTGTTCATAAAGATTTATCACTGATGCGAAACTATTATGGTCCACAGACGATTCAGAATCACTATTTTCCATAGTTAGCTGGTAATTGCGCGATAAATGATCAAATATACATAAATGGCTCGTGAAAAAGCATTCAAGGTGACACGTGAATAACTGAAACAAACAAAACGTTTCTATATTTGTATACTAGTAAATTTCTGATAGAGCATTCATAACAACTTTACACCCATGTAAAAGTGATGGATATACACCTTATAAAAGGGGTTTTAAGGGCCCGGTAAAACACTTCTCCAACATGTCACTTTCCATGGATTAGGAAACACTTTGTAGTCCTACAGTATTCATCGGATTCGTCCATATGTAAGTCATATTTGGAAACGAACTTCCGTGAAAATATGGGGTTAAAAACAGTTTAGCAAATAGCCGTACACTAAAAAAAATTGACTATAGACCCAGACTCCTCTGCTAACGATCCATGTACCCCAGTGACACGCCGCAGTACATCATACCCTGTGTTCATCAGTTCAAGTGGTCGCAGCTGCATAAAATTGGAGGACGCGGCCACCACTTCATCCACAAGGCCAGTGAAGAATGAGAGACCATTCCTGCATGGTTATTCAGATTCCCACAGCTTGATATTACACCTCTCTTCAGAGATAAATACTCACAAAACTGATATGTATAAAGACCACATAACAGAACCCGAACTTCATAGAAGTCTGTCCAAAAAGGTGGGCTCTCATGCCACCATAAATGAAGAGATTGAGACACTTAATTATAGACTGTCAAACAGTAGTAACGTTAGACACAGTAATTCGAACCAATTTAGCTTTCTTTGTAGGCCACCCATGCCTATTTACCTTCCCATACCCAATGAGGCTGCCCACCCAGTGACCATCAATTTTGCTGCAGTGACATTACCGCCTCTTATTCAGGTTCAAAATATGACGCTCACTACTCAACAGGCATCGACCCCGACGCAGATAGGCCATCTGATACTGCAATGTCTAATTACTGCCTGGAACTAACCTTGCGTGACACTGGTAATTCTCCTCTTCATCAACAACATTTTATCTCTTTTCTTCCGACAGTCAATCTTCTTTACGTCCCAATTCATAGGAACTTGCAAATATTAACAATAAAATATTACTGACCCCCTCCACATTTCTAGCTTTCCTTGCGCTTCTACAAGCAGACACTGCACTGTTGTATGAGAACAATGTAATTATATCCCATCACCAGCAACTTCAACACATGGCAAAAGTTTAAGATACGACCCAGCCAATCCCAACACGGTTCTTAATAATCCCATGTCAACTATAAACGAGACGACATACATCCGATCCCTACTACTGATAAGCCAACCTGCAGCACTAATGGTTACTTAGGCTTCGTGCATAAGTAAACTAAATAATGACTTCTTTCGCTGCAAAGGTTACTCATTTTTGAGGAAAAACAGACCATTTAGGCATCGTGAAGGATGCATTATCCATGTTAGTCTGACTGCAGAGCTGTGCACTACGATGCATCCAACCTGAATATATGCGACGCATTATGAGTGACGTTACATCACTAAACAGCAAACTCTATTATTAGGTTGCATATATCGCCCACACAACCACGACGGGCGTTGATGTGGCATATCCCCTATTTGAAGTGGCGCCTCTGGCTTAACCTTGATTGCATTTGCGCGGTTCCGTTGATTCGAGTTTGAGCTAGTCGTCCAGGCGAACGCAACAGACGCGTTACAACTGAGTGTTGCGTTACATTTCGTCGATATGGTGGGCTACTCACAAAAGTGTGAAAATGGCTTATAAAACGTTAGTTTACCGTAGACGACGTTTTAAGCAACATAGTCTGCAGAAGGCCTACCACAGCAGTTAGAATACAGTTAAACATGCAGAGAAGTACTATTGATTCAGCAACCGGTGAATTTTTTATTCTTTCGATCTGGGACCAGAATAACCGCGAACCATTCCATTCAAAATGTTGAATGAGGCATGCAGGAGCAGATTATCACCATCGAATGAATCAACTTGATCTGAGATGCAGCTTTCAGCGTGTTTTCGTTATATCGTAGACATCCAGGTTTATTGGCGGTGCATAGGCAGTGATTTGGATTTTGACGTATTCCGCAGAGAGTCTCCGCGTCTATGTGAAGTATACATATGCTTTGAATGGATTACTTTGTTGGCTCCTACCTCCACTGAGTGTTTACTACATCAGCTGTAGATTTATGTATTTCCTTGCCACTGTGGATAAAACATCGCCGCATTCTTTTGGGGAAGGAGACCAGTAGGTGGATTATAAATGATGTCCAAGTAACTTTTATCTTTCCATGTGGTGTTGCGGTAAGTTTCGGCCTCGTTTTCTCATATTTCATTCGTATGCTGGTTATGGTTCGCCCTTTGTATCAGTTAGACATAGTTCGGCCAACTCTTGATTGAATGGGTGTTATTGTCATAGCTGCTGCTTTTTTGTCTGGAAATAAAAATAGGGGCAAAAGAAACAACAGGTGTAGTCCCTAAATTCATATATTAAATCAGCTTATGTCAACGTGGTTGAAGATTGAACGACCGATTCATGAATGTTTGCTCAAAACCAACTTCCCCAATTTTCGCGGAGGCATCAATACGACAGTCATCGCCTCATCGGTCGCTGTTCAGAAGAAGTCAGCAGAAAACCGTCAGAAATAATATTGTGATTCATTATTGTACTATTTGTTCACAGACCTTAGTTGTAACATTGTTTATATGTTGGTGTTACAATAAAGAATCCTCGAGTCGCCAATTGGTGTTTTGGTTTTTGCGACCGCTATTACTAAGCGTTTCTGAGAAACTTCAAGGAATAGCGTGAGCCCGAGTGCAGCAAGAGTTGAGCATTAACGGTTTACGAGACGTGTCTGACAGCCTATGATTTCTGAAAGTCTTACATGGGAATTAGCACTGGTATCACTTGCAAACTCACTTAGTGTGTCATTAAGTGCCTTTTCAAAGGAAGCCAATGTGCTCGCTAATCACATTTTCTCAGGTAGTTTGTTCCATATTTGGGCATGCCTAATCAAGAAAATCTTTTGCCTGGTGGTCGTTTTACATTGTTCTATAGCCACTGTACCTTTAGTGTGTCTAACGTTATATCCAGTGTCTTCTGAGAACCGAGTATAATTAGCAGGGGTGTATACCATGTGGTTAAGAAGCTTATAGAAGAGTACCAGATTTAGTCGCAGTCTAGGAATATGTATGACAAGGAGTTTTATTACTGCGGTATCCCAGAGAAAGATCGTTCTATAGAAGACTTAAAGGCAGTTAAAATAGTTGGGCAGTCTTGTACATACGAAAATGGGAGTTTCAGCGTTGGCCTACCATGGAGATTTAAAGATAGACAGTTGGAAGTTGCTCTTAAGAGACTAATGGGTTTGAAGAAGAAGTTTCTCACGGATGCAGATCTCTGGACCAAATATAAGGATGTCGTCAACAAACACGAATTGAAGGGTTACGTTGAAATACTAGTTGATCAGACTGGGCCAGAGAAGTGGTATTTGCCCCCATCATACCGTCTTCAATCCGAGGAAGCCAGGTATTATTATTATTAAACTCAGTGTGATGTTCGATTGTTCAGCGAAACACGAAGGAGTTTGTTTGAATAATAATCTATATAGTGGCCCAGATTGAGTGAGCTCATTAGCTGGACTGCTGTTAAGGTTCAGAAAGTTTACTGTCACCACGGATATACAGGAAATTTTCCTACAAGTGAAGGTGTCAGGGAGCGACAGAGATCACTTAAGGTTCTTGTAGTTTGATGATGGTCCTTGTGGTAAGGTGCCAGAATACAGGATGACAGTTCATCCATTTGGTGCCACGTCCTCCCCATTTTGTGCTAATTTTGCTTTACGAAAGGCAGTGTCTACATTTGGTTCTAATGATCTACTGGACGTCATCGATTGTTGCCTCTACGTGGATGATTGTTTAGCCTCCTTCGATGATGATAAGTCTCCAGTTAGATTTGCAACAAGCATTACTGAAGTGTTAGCTAAGGCCGGTTTTCGTCTAACTAAGTGGGTCTCGAACAGCCTAGACGTTTTGAAGCATATAGTTCCAGAAGATAGAGCACCTACTGCACGAGATTTGCCTGTTGATACTCTACCAGTTGAACGCACATTAGGTATGAGATGGGATGTGAACTCTGATACCTTTGGATTTAGTGTTGGTGATATTGATAAGCCAGTTACTTGGAGAGGTGTGCTCTCTGTGTTGTCGTCCGTGTTTGACCCACTTGGATTAGTAGCACCTTATCTACTTCGGGCAAGGAGATTATTTCAAGAGAAATGCAGAAAAGGGTTACAGTGGGATAATCCATTAAGTGAGAGACACAGTGAAGAGTGGAAAAGGTTGTTTAACAGTTTAAGAACTCTGAATCTACATTCCTTCTCACGTCCACTTAAGCCATCGAGAAATCATGATATAATTGACTTCTATGTTTTTTCTGATGCCTCTGAGGTTGGATTTGGAGCAGCCGTCTACATCAGAACCACCTTAAGGGATGATATAGATGTTGGCCTAGTGATGGGTAAATCTAGAGTTTCACCCCTGAAGACGATTTCAATTCCGAGATTAGAACTCACTGCAGCCTTGCTAGCGGCGCAGTTATTCACAACAGCGTGTAAGGAGTTAGATTATCCCATGTATCCTGTAACTTTTTAGACTGATTCGATGTCCGTGATATATTATATACGCTACGAGTCAGCGGGATGTGCATGTTCTGTAGCTAACAGAGTATCTCAAATTCGTGAACTAACAACCGTTGAGCAGTGGAGGTACGTACCGTCTGGAAAAAATCTAGCCGATCTAGCATCGCGAGGAGTTATTGATATGAATGTGGTTAAAAATAAGTGGTGGAAAGGTCGAGAATTCTTGTCTTGGAGTTTAAGACAAGTGTCAGTTTAACATCTACTCAAGAAAGACATTTGGGTTTACATCCACTTTTTAAATATTATTCTTCTTGGTACAAACTACTGAGGGCTGTTGAGTGGTTGGCACGATATGTTACGTATTTAAAGGTCATGCTTCTTGCAGGATACGATAATATGAATGTGGGACCTTTGAGAGTCGAAGATAGTAGAAATGCGGAGTTAGCGAT